TTATTTTTAATTTGAGTTTTATTATTTATTCATAAATTAAGTCTTTAAAGGAAAAGCAGGAATGCTTGTCCTTTCATTACTGAGGATCTGACTCTGGATAAATAAACCTGGACATATTCCACTCTGTCTGAGAAATAAGTTTAATCCAGTATCAGGGTTTAAAAATATCCATCAACACTGAAGTTATTCCACTAAAAAAAGTAGCAAAAACTGGAAGGAATATTTTAATTTCTTTCACAGTAAAAAATAAAATAAAAAAAGGCAAAGAAAATGTGGGCAAAACAACCTCTTAAAAAAGCATGTTTGAATATATACATGGTTTACAATATGTACAAATAAATACATAATATTAACATGAACCAATAAACGCAGAGCACCTCACAAACTTTGCATGAATATTTATATTTTCTTATGAATAAAAACACATTCAGATTATACAGCCTGTCTGATGTCGCTTTAAACAAATCAACACCACCCAGGATGTGCGGCCAGCTTTTACAGCTTTGTTTTGCTGCAGTGCATTTGCCAGATTAGATTAGTTCGACACAATGCAGAGGGTCTGATAAACTTCCAGCTTAAGTCAGTCGCAGCCGTTTTCACACAGGGTTTATTTGGAGACAAGCAGGTTTTGGTCCATAAAGCAGATGTTTGTTTTTGCAGACGGCCGCGCTGACATTAGAGTCGTGTTGGTGCGTCTCTTCTTCAGGACGAGGAGCTCCAGAACCAACACATGTTTTTTCTGTGGAGATAAGGAGAAAGTTTATTGCGGTGTCGTTACTCTTGACTTTGTCCACGTCATGCAAAATGCACGTGGACTTCACATGCCTCGTAAATGCATGGCAGAAATACTACTGCATACAACATTATCTCTATTTAATGTCACTTCAGGTTATTCAAAAGAAATACAGATGTTGAGTAATATTACTATAGTAGTAAATTAAACATATTTAAAAGACAAACTTCTGGTTTTGTGAGCAGACAAACTGTTTGAATCATCAAATATTGAGGCTTCAACATCAATGAAAAGCTGTCGTACCTGCAGTATTTTGTGCCACACTCTAAATGCTCCCTGCAGCTGGCACCGACCGGCTTTATGCTGTTCCAGCGCCACAGCAGGGACCTTTTGGTCCGCTGGATCAAACCCTTCCAGTCGTCAGAAACCGGCGCTGCATCGACCTGCAGAAGTAAATATTGGATCGTTTAAGGAGCTACGATGACCCTCATGGTGAGGACATGTCATCAAATATCAAAAAACACAACTGCCACAGAGGAGATAAAGCAAAGCTTATAAACACCAGAGAGGTGATGAACGTACCTGAGTGATGCATATCAGAGACAGTAAAACAGAAAGAACGATGACTTTTTGCTGAAGAGTCCTCATGTTGCTTCCAGATGGAGCTCAAGGCAGATTCTGCTCTGCGTCAGGGTGGCTGTGGCGTCCCTCGCCGCTTGTATTAAAGGTTTTAATTGGGTTGGGGAGGAGCCACCCGCTGACTAATTCACTAATTTGTTACTTTAATGACTGAGGTTTGGCAGCTCGAGCCACTCGAGTCAAAGTCAGTGAAGGAAATCTCTGGTGGAGCGCGACTTATCAGTTTTATAATGTCAACTGAAGCCAAAGATTATCTGCAGGGATTCAAAGTACACTTTAACCCGGTAATTGAGGACAATTCCACGTCGGCGGCATCTAACAGAAACCTGAACGTGTTGAGAAAAAAAACTGTAGAAAATCAGTGTGAACCAGAATCCATTTAAAGCACAATCCAGATCTGATTTCAGGACCTTTATGCCAGACAACATTTACAATCTGCTCCTCTTGACACCTGTTCATCGTCGGCCTCTCTGGAGTGTGACAGTGGCAGGGGAATTCCAGCCAATGCATGCAAGTCCAGTTTGCTAATATTGAAACAAGAAAGTGAATTTGACCTTTTTTTTTGCCATTTGTTGACACTTTAAAAGAGCATAAAAGCCTTGAAGCACTAGTTTAAAAGTGAGGAAAGTATGCCTATTTGTATTTTGGCTGAGCGTCAGATGAGAAGATCAATAAAAATGATCAAATTTGTTCATTATTTATGAAACAGCCAGTTAGCTTAGCTTATCATAAATACTGGAAGCAGGTAGAAACAAGCTTCATCCAAAGTGTGGGGATAAAAAAAGTCAGTTTGCTGACAGGTTACATCTTTAAACAGGACAAACTGTAATTTCTCAGGGAGCATCGGTGCCTGTTAAAAGTATTCACTCCCCTTGGAAGCTTCTTTTATTACTTTTCAACACTAAATCATGCTCAAAATAATTTCGCTTTTTGGAAAGAATTTACAAACAAAGACTATTTCACGTCAAAGTGAAAACAGATTCCTACGACGTACTGTCAGTTTGTTAAAATTAGAAATGCATAAGTATTCGCCCCCTTTAAGTCAATATTTAGCAGATGCACCTTTGGCCACAATTACAGCATTGAGCCTACGTGGACAGCTCTCAATCAACCTTGCACGTCTGAACGCTGCAATTTCACCCCCTTCTTCTGAGCAAAGGGTTAGTCAGGCTGCATGGGGATCGTAAGAGAAAAGCTCTTTTCAAGTCTAACTACAAATTCTCAGTTGGATTGAGTGTCTGGGTTCAGCCGCTTTCTAACATTCCTCGTTTTCTTTAAAGCGTTTGTGTCACATGCTTCAGGTTGTTGTCTAATCTGCTCCCAAGTCAGGACAATCAGATCCAAACCTCCAGGACTTCCCTCTATTTGGCAGCATTCATTCTACCTTCTACCTTTACAAGCCCCTCACAGGCATCCCCCCACATCATGATGCTGCCACCTCCATGCTTCACATTAGGGATGGTATACTAGTCATGATTTCCTGGTCAGTGACTTCTTCCTGGGATTTCCTTGAGTTTTCCTGGCAGCCCCACACACCCCACCAGTAACACTTATGGGAAATAACTTCCCTTATTATTATTTTATTTGAAGGGTATGAAACATTATTTTGGGAATTTGATTGGTGCTCGTACACAGATGCTTGATTTTCAAACTTTTAAAATGACTCAAGCTGCGTATTTAAAATCACTTAAAGACACGAGCATGAAACCTCTCGAGTCGGCAAACATGCACGTCTTCTTAAATGTCACATATTTTAAAGATTAATTATCGTGTTAATGACCCCTCAGTTTTTATTCTTTAAGCCATTTTGAACCTTCTTTAATATAAAGTGATCAAATTAAGCTCCAATTTGTTTATAAGACTCTGACAAACCTTTACAAAATGCTTTAGCAGGCCTTAAGCATCAATTTAAAACACTGAACATGGTAATAAA